CACCCAGCAGGACTCTGGGACAGCGCGTCTGCGGGGGCCGAGTGGAGGGAGGACCCTGGGCACCGGGCCGGCCACTGGGCCGAAGTCGGGGCATCCCCTGCGGTGCCCAGTCCCTGGGCAGGGGGTGCCCTCCCCTGGGGACTGCAGTGCAGAGACGGAAGGGTCCTGACTTCCGGGGACAGACTGGCTGGGCTGGTGGGAGAAGGACGCCCCCTTCCTTTCCACCCACCAGCCTGGAGGAAGCTGCGTCCGGGCAGGAGGGACCTGATTCTCCAAAATAGCGAAGTTTCTAGAACTCTGCAGAGGGACCCGGGGCCTCCCATGACTCCCCTGGCCGCTGGGATCCGGGCGGCACCCTCTCGTTCGGTCCCACCCCCCACGGTCCGGGGCTCCAAGCAGCGGCCACACTGCTGACCTGGGTGCCGGCCGGTAGGTGAGAGCCTGGTGCTCCTTGTCTTGTCCTGCTGGGACCAGAGGGGCTCCGACAGTGGCGGGCACCCCCTTTTAGAACATTTCCTGGGGCACACGGCAGCGTCACTCGGCCCATCACACCCAGGAGCTCAGCGAGGTGGCTCCAGCCTGTGGGAGTCCCTGGCTTGGTGCTTGCCTGCTGAGGGCCCCCAGCGCAGCTCAGGCACCCCAGCTGCAGGGGCACATCAGAGCTGGGGTTCAGGTCATTCTAGGCCAGTGGTTCTCAACCTCGGCTGCACATTAGAATCACCTGGGGATCTTTTTAAAATCCTGGTTTCTGGGCCTCATCCTCCAGAAATTCGGTTTCTTTGTTACTAATGTTGTGGCCCCACCCCATAACAGAAACAGAATTTCCGGAGGACGAGGCCCAGAATCAGGATTGTAAAGATTCCCAGGTGATTCTGAAGTGCAGCCGAGGTTGAGAACCTCTGCTCTCTGGGCTCCACGGCACCTTTGACGTCATAGTACCGCGCAGTGAACGTGCTGCTGCACAGACCAGGTGCCCTGCGTGACCTCATCCTGAGCAACACGCGTGTACACGGATAACACCAGGGAGGAGCCTCGTATGAGAACCAGCTGCCCCAGGACATGGGCCGGGAAGGAAGGGGGCGGCGGGCGGGGCACACGGCTTCTGAGGTTCGGGGACCTCCATGCGGGCGGCGCTGACACCGGGACACCATTCCAGGTCGCAGGCCGCTCTGACTGCTTCTCCCCTCTTCCCCTGGCAAGCAGAGTCCGGGCCACAGTCTCCCCTGAGAACGTCAGAATTGGGGGGTTCCTGCCCCAAACCAATGCGCATGTGCAGTGCCCCCAAAGCGACAGGACATCGGGTCCTTGCCCGTGGCCTCAGGCGTGCGGAGAGGACTCACTGACACGGGGTCCGGCCCTGCCTCTAGGCGGTCCGTCGGTTGGGCTCTGGGTCTTTGTGTCCCACCAGATTTAGGGGAGAGAGGACTCGGGAGGCTGGGGAAGCAGGGGTTCCCCAGGGTCTTAGGTCTCTCATTCCCCAAGCAACCCCCATGGGAGGTGGAGACCTGGCCGAGGCGGGCCTGCCATCCCCCACCCCGCTGCCCTGCCTCAGTTTCCCAACTGTCCCCCAAGGGTTGCATATGCAACAGCCTCAGCCGAGCTCAGCGTGGACACGGGCAGGGCTCCCACGTGGCGGGGGAGGGGCGCACGAGCCTCCGTGGACACCGGTGGACTCAGGTGGATCCCACGGAGACAATTAGGCGTGGCCCGCAGTTGAGCGTGCACGTGACCCTGCCTCGCTGCGCGCCTGCGCCATTCCAATGGCGTCTCTCGCCTCCCCCCTTCCATGGAAATGCAGCTCTGGCTGGTCCCCAGTGTCTGGGTCCAGGCCACCTGCTCTGTACCCCCTCACCCACTGGGGCGTTTGGAGGGTCCTGGGTCCTGTGCGCCGTGGGGTGGTGGGTGGAGTGTGGGGCGACTGCTGAGAACTCGGCCCTGGCACCGCTGGCCGCCCCTGTGCAAAGGCGTCTCCCCGTCTCCAGTCGCCAGGGCCTGAGCGACTGACCTCTGAGCCCCGGGGACCCACTGCTCCCCGCTGTGAGCTG